GTTGCATGGAGTCAACCAACTTCTGGCACCTGCGAACAGGTATTCCAGCCCAGGATGATTGGACTACATTCCACAGTTCTTCTCTATTTCTTGGTTGTGCCTCAGAAACTGCATTTTTGATGTCACCCCACAAGTTTTCTGTTGGATTAAGATCCGGGGATTGGGCTGGCCACTCCATAACGTCAATTTTGTTGGTCTGGAACCAAGATGTTGCACGTTTACTGGTGTATTTGGGGTCGTTGTCTTGTTGGAACACCCATTTCAAGGGCATTTCCTCTTCAGCATAAGGCAGCATGACCTCTTCAAGTATTCTGATGTATTCAAACTGATCCATGATCCCTGGTATGCGATAAATAGGCCCAACACCGTAGTATGAGAAACATCCCCATATCATGATGCTTGTGCAACCATGCTTCACTGTCTTCACAGTGTACTGTGGCTTGAATTCAGTGTTTGGGGGTCGTCTGACAAACTGTCTCCGGCCACTAGACCCAAAAAGAACAATCTTACTTTCATCAGTCCACAAAATGTTGCGCCATTTCTCTTTAGGCCAGTCAATGTGCTCTTTGGCAAATTGTAACCTCTTCAGCACATGTCTTTTTTTCAACAGTGGGACTTTGTGGGGGCTTCTTGCAGATAGCTTGGCTTCACATAGGCGTCTTCTAATTGTAACAGTACTCACAGGTAACTTTAGACCTTCTTTGATCTTCCTGGAGCTGATTGTTGGTTGAGTCCTTGCCATTTTGGCTATTCTTCTATCCATTCGAATGGTAGTTTTTCGCTTTCTTCCACGTCTTTCAGGTTTTGGTTGCCATTTTAAAGCATTTGCGATCATTTTAGCTGAGCAGCCTATCATTTTCTGCACTTCTTTATATGTTTTCCCCTCTCCAATCAACTTTTTAATCAAGGTACGCTGTTCTTCTGAACAATGTCTGGAATGACCCATTTTCCTCAGAATTTCAGACAGAAATGCACTGTAACCAGCATGTACAACATTTGCTGCCTTCCTTCCTTCCTTAAATAAGGGCAATAATTGCCACCTGTTTTTCAAAGAATGAATGACCTCACTAATAGCCACCCTGCTATTATTTTGAACATGGCCCTTTCAATTAGTGATTCAATTACACAGAATCAGCAGCATGCATGTCATGACTGTTGGGTCTGTTGGATTTCTATTACTCTACTACACCTGCTAGTAAATTATTTGCCATGTAGAAATATAATTTCTACCAAAAACAGTGATTGATCAGGTTAGTGATGTCTGACTGCTATTATTTTGAACACAACTGTATATGTGTCACAAAATATAAATAAAAAATGAAAAAAATGACCAAATCCCAAATTTTTTTAAAAATAAATCCAAAAGAATGTCCAATTCCAATGTGCTCCAATTTAATATTCAGTGGTGCTGTTTTACAAAATTCAGTGCGTTCACATCAACTTCCAACAGAGTACACCTCTCACCACTAATTTACCTCATAAATAAAAAGCTTTAAAGTGCGTAAACTTTAAAACAATAAAAACATATTGAAATGTTCACCCACATGTAAAAAGTTGCCTGACTGCACCAAGTATAGAAAGCCTCCAATATTACTCCATAATCTGGAGAAAGGTGTGCTGTAGGAGTCAGCAGTAAATGCAGCAGTATGCGCTCCAGTAAAAATATCCTCTCATATATGCACAAACAGCCCGTGCCGTATTGCTCACCAGTCGGAACAGTGTGTTTTCCTTTTGGGACGTGCACTATCGCTGCTGTAAACGCTGGCTCCATATTGCATAGTGACGTCATCCGAAGCTCCTCCCCGATGCATCTCATCACATGACTTTCTCAAGGTGAAACTGATAGGACCGCCCAACGCTAATTGGCCATATAAATAGACCCCGGCGCCATTTTGTCATGGACAATTAAGGCGCACCATTTTTGGAGTGATACATACAGCATCCTATTCGGATCAAACCTCTAAAATGGTTATCACCAATTCAAAAATATAAAACTTACTATGCATATGAATAATCAAATGAAGATGAACCATCACCATACAACACAGATTCTCAGATAACTCGGACTACCAAATCAATATTTTGTACCAAATGTAAATATATGTAACTTCACCTCCCCTCGCGTACCATGTTAAAGGTATACACAATGCCGAGCCCCCCAGATACTACAGTAATGCCAATAAAATCAAAATAAAAAAATATATAAAAATAATATATTGATAAAACAAAAAAATAAAAATCTATAAAAAAATGTTAAAATATATTCCCATACTTTCAAAAATCACTTATAAAACAACTTAAATCAATTCCTTATTCATTCCTCTTGGGGCCAAAGTCTTTAGCTCATGAATCCAAAAAGACTCCCTTTTGCTCAACTCTTTACTAACCTTATTATCACCCCTCCAATTCTGTTTATAGGATTCAACCCCCAAAATTGCAAACACGAACAGTCCTTATGTATATCTGAAAAGTGTCCAGATACAAAATGTTTAGGAAACCCCATACCAATATTACGAATGTGTTCCTTCACCCTTTCTTTTAACGTCCTTTTAGTGCACCCCACATATTGAAATCCACATCCAAATGTTTTAAAGTTTATCCAAATGTTTTAAAGCTTTTTATTTATGAGATACATTGGTGTTGAGAGGTGTACTCTGAATGCGGTGATAACAGCTGAATTCCATCAAGTTAATCTTTAGTGGCCATTGTGGGACCAAAAGTGCAGTTAGACCAAACATATTATGTGAGGTCACACTGCTGGAGGTGAGCAGACATCTGGTAATGGAATTATGCACTATTGTGTTTTTGAAGCACTTGGTGATCACAGATGGAGGGGCACACCATAAAAAATTTATTTGTTTGTACTTCTATTTTATTCATTTATTTATAATTAAAATTATTTTTTTATGCATATTAATTTTCCCGTACACTTTTGTACTTTGGTTTTATGAATTGTAGCCCGTCACTGTTTTTTATTATTTGACAGTGCTAATAAAAAAGCACTGACACTGTACTAATGGCACTGGGAAGGAAGGGGTTAACATCTGTAGCGATCAAAGGGTTAACTGTGTGCTGTTTCACTACTTGGGCTGTGTGTGTGTTTCACTGCACGCACACTGCTTTGTATGGCTCTGCTAGCAGTGTGCAGGAGATCTGTTTATACACAGGTCTCTCCTCCGTTGGAGATATTCGGCGATCACCGGGTGTCGGCGAGTAATCACCAGCTGGGACCTTGTGATTGACAGCCGAGGCCGCGAATGGTGATGTGGGTAGGGCGCGTGCTCAACCCCTTCCCGCAACTGCAAAATCAGGTATATGTATGTGATTTTGCGCAGCCGTGCCGCCCTGTATCAGTATTTCACTTAAATACTGGAAACTTTCACCACCTTCCTGCCCGGAACAATTTTCAGCTTTCAGTGCTGTCGCACTTTGAATGGAAATTGCGCAATCATGCAACACTGTAACCACATAAAAGTTTCATCAGTTTTTGAAACAGATAGAGCGTTCTGTTGATGGTATTTAATCACCATTGGGATTTTAATTTTTTTCTAAAAAAAATATGAAAGACCGAAAAAAGTTTTTCTAAGTTTGTTATAAAATGTTGCAAATAAATAATTTTTCTTCTTCACTGATGTGCGCTGATTAGGCTGCACTGCAGAGGCTGCACTGATGTGCACTGATGGACACTGATTGGCACTAATGGGGCTGCACTGACTGCACTGCACTGATCAGTGCCCTGATTATCAGTGTAAACCATGTACTGACAGCCTCGCCAGTTAATGGCTTTCCTTTCCTTACACAGACACAGCATGTGAAGAAAAGATTGCCAATAACTGGCAAGTCTGTTTACATGTGATTAGCTGTGATTGGACACAGCTGATTACATGGTAAAGGGATGCTGTGACTGGCCCTTTATTCTGATCTGTGATCAGCTGAGCCCAAAGGTCACAGAACGTGCCTGGGGTGCGCAGTGGTTGGGCGACCATGCTGTAGCCATCTTTTCACTATAGCAAAGTAAATATTCTTTAAAATTTGTATTAATGACTCTGATTCCGTTGGGAAGATTTCACCATATTTCCTGTCCCTTTGAAAGCCTATCCAAGAAATACAGGGAACACATGACCCTGGGAAAAAAAAATCACAGACAGTTATATTCACCCATCAGCAATAAAACCTGCCAAATAGGTATATGTCCTCCCCACCCTTTCCAAAACTAAAAAAAGTTTTGGCTGGAGTTAGGCTTTAACCATTTCAAGTCCGGACACTTTTACCCCCTTCCTGTCCAGGCCAATTTTCAGCTTTCAGTGCCGTCACACTTTGAATGACAATTGCGTGGTCATGCAACACTGTACCCATATGATTTTTTTATCATTTTTTTGAGACAGATAAAACTTTATTTTGGTTGTATTTATTCACCACTGAGATTTTTATTTTTTTTGCTATATAAATGAAAATGTCCAAAAATTTTGAAAAAAGTGTTTTTCTTATAAAATTTTGCAAATAAATAATCTTTCTTCATAAATCGTGGCCAAAATTTATTCAGTTATCTTTTTAGTAAAAAAAAACCCAAATTAGTTTATAACCAAAAACTATAATTTAAAAAAAAAATTATTACATTTTATTACATATTTTTTATATTATTATTTATGTTTTTTTTAACATACTGTCACCCTAGCAGTACAGTGTCACTTTAGTGACACTGTACTACTTGTGGGGGGTGATGAAGATTATTTTTTTTCTTACACTGTTCAAACATTTTTTTTAAAAAAGTGTTTTTCTTTTAAAATTTTGCAAATAACTAATCTTTATTCATAAATCATGGCCAAAATTTATTCAGTTATCTTTTTTTTTAGTAGTGACATATGACACTGTACTACTTGTGGGGGATGATGAAGATGTTTTTTTTTTTTTTTTTACACTGATTGCTGTTACACCCATAAAGGCTGTAAAAACAATAATCTCTCCTTCTCTCTGACTGCATTTTTGCAGCCATTGAGAAATACTGTGAGAGCTGTGATTGGTCACAGCTTGTCACATGGTACAAGGCTGTTGTGAATAGCCTTGTACCATGTGAGCCTTGTACGTGTGACAGATTTCGCACTTAGTAAGCAATGATGCCAATCAGTGATCCAATCAGCCAATGAGCCAATCAGTGATCACATGTTCGGGACCTCACACAGAGGTCCCATACAGCGATTGGTGTTCCCAGGGAGCGTGCACGGGCTGTAAATGCAGGCACCGTTTATGAATGACAACCCGCACTGCTCCCATTTGGCCGTTTATGTACATGGGCCAGACGGGAAGTGGTTAAGCAGCAAATAACCAGAAGTTACACAACAGTATACAATAATCTGTCAGAGATTAGGTTTAGGTTACCAAAACTGAAGGTGTTACAGGTTAAGTGGCAGAAAGTAAGTCACAGTTAAAAGGGCAAAAAAAAAAAAGGCTTACCTGGGTCAGGTACAACTGTCAGTGGACTACTGAAAACGGGAAAAGGGTCTTATAGACTGATGAATCAAAATGTGAAATCCTTGATTAAATAAACAAGGGTTTTGTATTTCAATGATAAGACAAAAAGGATGGTTCCTATTCATACACTTGTGGCCTTGTTTCTCAGTGATCTCCTTCAAGGCTTTAGAAATGAAATTTTATAGCACTAGGCTTTTGCTATCTAACAAGGTCATCAGACACTGCCAACAAAAGTAAAATGAAATTTACTGAAAGATTCTCTAGCCTTACATGACCTATCTGACCCCATTTATGTCCCAGTAGTTTTACTGTTAATGAAGTTTCAATCAAATTACAGTTTACCTTATGAGCCAGCCTAGTCACTCTTATGTTACGATTTAAACAAGCTGGTGGTTGGACAGAAATTGATTTGACATTTTAATCTTCTCACATATATTCCACAGGAACCTCAAAACACCAGCCAACTTTCACTATTTCTTGGCTTGTAGTTACTTACTTGATCCTATTAAAATAGTTCATTCTGGTGTTTAATTTATGTTAGCGTCCTCTGTTTGGAAAATGACATGTCAGCAGTTTCAAAGACTGTTAGAAAGAAGACATTTATTGAAAGGAGAGTTGTCTGTAGTCAAGACTGAACTTTGATTCAATGCAGCATCAGTGATTAACTTTATTACAAATAAACTAATTATTTCCCAATTTCAGGACTGCGGAGTTCCAATATATATCAATGCCTCTAGGCCCTGTAGTTTTTGGTGCAGTATATTATCGAACCACTAAAATACCAGGCATTACAATGTTCTAAGAACATACCTTATGTCTGCCATACATGGGTTGAAATTCGACTGATTTTTCATCCGAAAATCAGACCTAAGAATAATTAGACGATTTTCGCTCTGTTAGTGGGTAAATGACACTGGCTGATTTTCATGGTTCCTCCCCTTTTTGGTGATCAGGCATGTTGGAAAATTTGTGAAAAACGACCAATTTTCGACTCAGTGATGGTCAAATCATACAATCGTTTTTCTGAAAAGAATATGCGCATGAGCTGTGACCTGGAAGGAACAGAATTTTTGCCTGTTATATGGGGTGAACTTTATGAATTGGTCGGTCGATTTTCGAAATCATTGATGGCACCATCAGATTACTGAGCTAACAACGTTTTCAATTTTCGGATGAAAAATTGTTCGGAATTCGACCCATGTATGGCCTGCATTAATCTTGGGATTTTCTACTCCAAAATGCCAGAATTTTTCTTAATCATCTTAACATAAGTCTGACTCAACAACGGGGGAGCTTGTGAACTGGGGGGGGGTACTTCTATAAACGGAGTATGAACATAGATGCATTATCTGTGGACTTTGCATCTGCATTAAAGGTAATCTATTTTAAAAGATAAATACACCTTAAAAATAAAATAAATAAATGCACATCTTTTTGCAGGTAAAAAAATGTGCATTTATTATTTTTTTTTTACTTGGAGCCTGTACAGCATTGCACCCACGGTCAGCAGATCACAGGTGCCACGCAGGACTCCTGAAGATTTGTCAGTGTATCTGTATCACTTTACGAGTTTAAAAGAGTATAAAATCATCATATTGATAATTATTAATTTACTGAAATCCTTATCCATAGTCAAAATAAATCATGTAAAGTTCACAGCAAAGGACATGTGCCAACTATTATCAATGATAATCAGAGTATAAAACATCATCTGCTGTTAAAGATCCTCCTAATGACTACCTACACAACAAATTCCAGGTAATTTCAACCACCTTTCATTCCCAGAAAAGAAAAGCTTTCCAAGAGCAGCTCCTATGAAAGCGAAACTACACTGCATCTGAGCATCACAAACCAAAATTGCTATTTCATTTATTTTTAACCACTTCATGCTGCCCTATAGCAGAAATACTGCTACAGGGCGGCACGGGTGCACAAAATCACATATACATACATGATTTTGCAGTTCTGGGTAGGGGGCGCGCATGCACACTGCTTTGTAGAGCCATACAAAGCAGTGTGCTTACAGTGTAAAGCACACACACAGCACACAGTGAAACAGCACACAGGTAACCCTATTTACTGGACATGTTTACCAGACAAAAGTTAAAAATATTGTTTTTTTTCTCAAAATTGTCGGTCTTTTTTTGTTTATAGCGCAAAAAAAAAAAAAAAAACACAGGTGATCAAATACTACTGAAAGAAAGCTCTATTTGTGAGAAAAAAAGGACGTAAATTTAATTTGGGTGCAAATGAATATTGGTTTGTTATCTAAGCTTATGGACTATGAACAATGTAGCTGCCTACCACTCCTCATACCCTCAGTGGGATAAAGATGGCAAAATACTAAATGTTTAGTGTGGCACTACTAAATGGTGCTATAAAACAACTTTTTGCCAGCGGTTTAGACATTAATGGCTGTGTATTGAGTTATTTTGTAGGGACAGCCAGGGGCAGACTGACAACTCATGAGGCCCCCGGGCAATAGGGGATCATGGGGCCCCTGTGTCCTTGCGCAAACTCAAAAACTCAACCTATGAAAAAGGTACCAGGGGCATCTCATGGGGCCCCCTATTGACCCCGAGCCATTGGGCAGTGCCCAAGTTTCCAAATGGTCAGTCTGCCCCTGGGGACAGCAAATTTACACTGTTATACAAGCTGTACACTCACTACTTTACATTGTAGCAAAGTGTCATTTCTTCAGTGTTGTCACATGAAAAGATAGAATAAAATATTTACAAATATGTGAGGGGTGTACTCACTTCTGTGAGATACTGTATATACAAATTGTACTTACAAATTGTTTTATTTCTAATTACTAGCATTTTATAAAATGTTTCATTTATATGCTCATTTTACATACTTATTCATTTATATGTTCAGTACATGTGCATTTGATCTCAGGTGCATAGGGAGCAGCACTATGCGGTTTTGTATATCCACCATTTCAATTGCAGGAGCATGTGAAGGGTTAAGTAATTTTAGGGGAGGGAGGAATGATTAGAGGGCAGTCTATAGAGCGGACAGTGGAGCAAGATGGCATCGCTCCTGATTACGCTGACGAAACTAGTTGGGTGGAGCCTTTTGTGTCACTTCCGGTAGCCTATTTCAGGTCCGTGGAACGCAGGAGCACCCCGGAACCATGAGATAAAGCGTTCTTTGTGCATCTTTTATGGAAATGCAATTTGTATATATTTTAATAAACAGTATTACACTATTGGAGTTCTGCTTTTTGGTTCTCTCGGTTAACTATCGGTGGAGTAGAGGAGAAGGAGATTCGGGGATACAAGAGGTCCAAATAACAAGAGGTGTGGAGATATTGAAGGTGGAAGCTATAACAAGCACATATGACTTACCTGTAAAAAGGGAGTCTTAATCTCTGGTGAGTGCGGACTAAATGGAGATGGGATGCACAAGCGTCACGTGAAGGAACGTAGCACTGTATTGAAATTAAGAACACTATTTAAGTGGATTGCACCGAAGTACTTTTGGTGAATTGCATATTATGGATGTAACAAATATCTGTTATTGTAATGATTTTGCACAGGTGCAAATTTCATTTTTAGAAGGGGGAGGTGTTCTGTAGTACGCATCACACAGTCTGTAATATCAAAGCACTTTTTTGTATTTTTCTATTGTATTTTTATTTTATTGGGAGGATGTCACACGGTATTATTGTTACATAAACACACACAGAAGTATGTTTTTGAGGAAGGAGGTGTATTGTAGTACATCACAAATTTTGATGTAATCTTGTGGGTGTTTTCATATCACATCATTGGATTTGTCTTAATTTGAGGAGGAAGCACATATAGTATGCAAGTGTTGCACACGTGTAGGACAAAGGTGTATTATAGCACCATTTAGTAGTGCCACACTATAATTTTGCATTTTGAGTAAGGGTAGATGATTAAATTAGTATTTACTTCCTAAAAATTAATTTGCACTTAGCGCAGGCATGCAGAGAGGAAGATGTGCTTAGCCGAGAAACCCCTCCTCCCCTTACAGACTCATAGGATGTATGGCAGCATTTGCCTAGTCACTAGAAACTAACTGAAGAAATGTAAAAAAAAGTTTAACACAAGTTTATATAATAAACGTTTCTATCTAATAACTCCGGGTACTCCGGTTTCCTCCCACACTCCAAAGACATGCTGGTAGGTTAATTGGATCCTGTCTAAATTGGCCCTAATATGTTTATGAATGTAAGTTAGGGACCTTAGATTGTACACCTCTTGAGGGTTACGGACTGATGTTAATGTACATATATATATATATATATATATATATATATGTGTGTGTGTGTAAAGTGCTGCGTAAATTGACAGCGCTATATAAGTACCTGAAATAAATAAATAAAAAAAATTACTAATGTTAGCAGCATAAGAATTAAAAATAGTCAAAATTGCGTGAAGTTCCACTTTAGCTTTGAGATTTGATCTCCATCAACAGTGAGGTTACACTGATCTATTTTATAGAAAAAGCCAGTTGAACTTGCCCTGTGTGTGGCCAGAAAGAGATACCATACATTGGAGGGCCACTTGTACCAAGTAGAGACATACATAATATTGCATTACTGAAATTACTCAATTCAGCCAAGAGCATTTCCCACTGAAGTACCATTTAAATAAAATTAAAAGTGGTTTAACATATTTTCTGGAAAGAAAGTTTGTTCATATGCAACATATATCTGCATCCAATTAATAATTTAAAAGATCGTGGAACCTGAGCTTGTTAGGTGTTCGTTAAATCTTCCTCAGTGGTAATATAGGAG